CCGATACTCCTCCCCGGTGCCTGGTCCCTACCCATGCCCCCCCCTTGCCCCCCGTGATCCACATCACACATCTACTTTCTGCAGCAGCAACCTCCCCCCACCCCACCCCACTCCCGCCCCACACTGCCCCCAGGCTGCCGAGGGCTTGCCAATGGACCGGGTCCGATGTGACGCTGTGTCCACTCCAGACAGACCTAAGAAGATCGGGCAGACCCACTTTTGCACTTTGAGGGGTTCCCAGATGCAGTGTTAGAAGCCGGGTTATCCTGCTGGAAGGGCTGTGTGCACAGGTAAGGCCCCGAGGCAGCTTGGCAGTGGCGGGGGCTTGGCTTTTTCAGTATCCTGGGCGGCCCCCAGGTGACTCTGCCCATCAGGCTGTGGCAGCATGAAAGACCCCAAGCAAGACAGCAGTGGGTGGCCCAGCTGAGCCCCGTCCACGGCAGACCTGCAGAGAGAGGAACACGATTGTTCCAAACGTGACACGCCGAGTGGCTCTGCGACCACCGTCTAAGTGTAGGATGAGCTGAGGATGACGATGGTGGGTGCTGGGGAACCATGGCATCGCTCAGATCCTGTGCCGTTCTGAATAGCGTCCGCACCCTCAAGATGAAGAGACCGAGGCCCTGAGAAGGGAGGTAACCAGAGGATGGAGGGGCTGGACTGGAAGCATGAGCTGTCCGGCTGGAGCCCCAGGGCCTTTGCACTTCCATGGCCCCCTCCTCTTTGCAGTATCAACCACTCGGAGGCCTAGGGTGGTCCCAGCTGCTTCCCAGCCACCACGTAGTCCACTGCGGCGCTGCTCTAGGCAAGCTCATAGCTTGGCCTCCCACTGCTGCTCCTCCCACCTGTGGCTTATCAGAGAAGCAGGATTGCTTACAGTAGGTGAAACCGAGACTCGTCCGGGAAATGCGGCCTGATCCGTTGCAAGGTTAGTCTAGCCGGTAATGTAGCTGGGCGCTTTCAGACACAGCCAGGCTGTCTGCAGAAGGGCTGCCAGCCTTCCCGCGGTCCTGCAGGGTCAAGACTCAGGAACAGAACTGGGGGATACGAAGGCCCCTGGTGGGCGTTCCTCTGGCCTTCCTGAGTCTGCCTTGCAGCGCAGCCAAGCTCGGCTGGCTCAGATGCCAACAGGTGCTCTGAGTGGAGGTGTTTACCTAAGTCCTGTGGTTCCGTGAGTCTGCTCATTCCCTGGGGAGCAGGAAGGGCCTTGCAGTTCAGCCCTGCCCTGCCCTGCTGGGCCAAGAGCCAGCCCCACCTCATGGCCTGTGCGCCCTCTAGCGGCCATGGGCAGAAAAGAGCAGCTCAGTGGCGATTTGGGAGCTGGTCCCAGCTGTCAGGGTAGGGACTGTCAGACTGGCCCATCTTCACACCCCAGTATGAACAGGCGAGAGGATGCAGATGAACGGGAGCCCCTCAGACATCTCACTAAAGAATGGGGGTGGTGAGTGAGCACAAGTGTCTATGACCCTGTCAAAGAGATGGACCCAGCCACTTAGCTCTGAGGGAATATTATGGCCCCCTTCCCCTTTTTTTGAGAGAGAGATTTTCACTATACGGCGTGTGCACTCTCCAGAGAGACACACACAGAGAGAGAGAGACTGAAAGCAAGAAATCACCCTCTGGGGGTGGGGAGTGGATGGGCACAGATGCACACATGCTCAGCATGAGTTTTAAGCCTCTGGGTCTAAGACTCAAACTGTGGTTGACTATGTGGGAGTCCAGCGACGTAACCAGTATGTCATCGGCTGGCTCTGTTTTTTTTTTTCTAAAGAATTGTTTTAATTTTATTTGTTCATTTTATTTTAATTTGACCAGAAAGAAACACACACATACACAGAGAGAGAGAGAGAGAGAGGGAAAGTGAGAAAGCAAGCCGCCAGGTCTGGGATTCGAACCATGGTCAACCATGTGGGAGTGTCCAACACCTTAACCACTATGACACCTGCTGGCCCCTTTTTCTCTTTTTTTAAACTATAAAATTAAAAATAGATTCTCGGGACCAGCAGATGGCCTAAGGGTTATGTCTCTGGACTTCCACTAGCTGACCACAGTTCAGTTGCCGGACCTGGTGGCTTGAACTCACGCCAGGTGCGTGTGCGTGCGCGCCCAAGATCCTGAGAGGAGAATGCAGGAGAAGGGATTGTGGCATGGCCATCCCCTCTGGGGGATGATGTCTCACTTTCTGTCTCTCTGTCACTTCTTTTCTGGCAAACACACATGCCCTATAGCAAAAATCTCCCTCTAAAAAAATTAGATTCTCATGAATAAAAAGAAGTAAAAATCCTTGGTTGCCTATTAGGGAAACATCCTTGAGGAACATCTAGCACAACTTTCCTTCATGAGAGTGGCTCCTCATCCCTCTAAGCAGTTTGTAAATGTTCCTCTCACTGGAGAGATAGAGACAGAAAGACAGGCGCTCCCCAACAGGGTCCTCGTGCCTGACCCACCATCGTCTCAGCCGACCCGGATCTCAGGCACACACGCACACCCGAACCCAGGACTCTCCCATGTGGGTCCGGCTGAGTTACTTCTGTATCTGGGGCGACAAGATGTTTCTTAACCTGGGGCCCTTGGACCACCTGAGTTTTCCATATGACTTTCAGAGGATTTTGTGGAATTACCCACAGAACTGTTTGAGTGTGGTATTGTGTGGGTGTTTCTTTCTTTCTTTTTTCCCCCCCCTTATCTTTTTTGTTTTTTAGAGTTTGTAATTTTGGGGGGAATAGGGTCTATAACTCCTAAAAGGTTGAGTCAGAATTGCTGAAAACCCTAGTTTCTTGGCACAGCCCTGCTGCTCTCATGACCTAGTTAGCCTTTGCCCGCCTCTGGCCTCCTTCCAAAACTATGCATAAAAGCGGAAATGAACCCAGAGCCTCCTCCTTTGCCCGCTGACTTGGTGGGGTAGGCCGACCACTGCAACACCGGCCCCGCGTTTCAGGCCTTCTCACGGTAGATGTGGCTTCTGGCCTCTTGTGCAAGCAGCACTCCCAGGGAGCAGGCGGCTCCTACCGGATCGCTCCGGGGCTCAGGCCATCTGTCCTGTGGCTAGATGCCTCGGCATCCTCTCCAGTCCACGGCAAACCAGGAAAGAGGTGGAGGGGCAAACGGAAGTTTTCCAGGTGCCCAGGGCTTCCCCCAGTCCACTGCCTGAGCCTGGTCCATTGGGCACACGTAGCTGGACGCAGAGCTGCAACTGAGGCTGGGCTAGAACTGCAGAATGAGGGTCCTGGGAGGGGTGTCTGTCTGTCTCCTTTTATCTCTCTCTCTCATGGAAGAAATAAATAAGTAAACTTTTACAAAAAGATTTTTGCTGTAGTGCACGTGTACTCACCAGAAGGAGAGAGAGGGAGAGAAAGGGGGAGAAAGAGAAGTCACCCCCAGAGGGACTGACCACACTGCAATTCCTTCTCCATCCTCCTCCTGGGATTTTGGGCATGCACATGTATCCAGCATGTTTTTCGAGCCTCTAGGTTGGGGACTTGAACGGCAGAGCTGGCCACGTGGGATCCAGCATCTTCACCACCACATTATCTGCTTGTGCAATAAGCAAACTTTTTTTTTTTAAGAGGTTTTTGCCTTAGGACATATGTATTCACCAGAGAAAGAGACAAACAGACAGAGGTGGAGAGAGGGAAAGTGAGAAATCATCCCCTAGGGGGAATGGCCGTGCCACAGTCCCCTCTCCTCCATTGTCATCCTGGGATCTTGGGCATGCACGCACATGTGCCTGGTGTGAGTTTAAAGCCTCTGGGTTCGGGACTCGAACTGCAGTCAGCCAAGTGGGAGTCCAGTGACATAACCACTATGTCATCTGCTGGCTCCCATAAGTAATCATTTCTTAAAAAGAAATTAATTAAAAGAAAACTTTAGGGCCGTAGGTGGCATAATGGTTAAGCGGCTGGATTCCCACATGGCCGACTGCATGGTTCAAGCCCCAGAATGGCAGCTTGAAATCATACCAGGCACGTGTACATGCTTGCCCAGGGGCCCGAGAGGAGAATGGAGAAGAGGGGATTGCGGTGTGGCCATTCCAGTGTGTGTGTGTGTGTGTGTGTGTGGGGGGGTTCACTTTCCCTCTCTGTCTCTTTCCTGACAACTTATGCCTTGTGGCAAAACCTAAAAAAAAAAAAAAAAAAAAAAACGAACAAACAAACTCTCCCGTGCATTCAGATCACCATGGGACCTTGTTCAGATGCCGATTCTGACTCAGTAGGCCTAGGCTGGTACCTGGGATTCTGCTCTTTTTAGTTTTAATAAGGCGGGAGGGGGGGTGTCCTCAGAGAGTGACAGAGAGACCGAGAGGGGAAGAGGGAAAGCAACCCCTCATGGGGCACGGTCACACCACCGTCCCTTCTCCATTTCTCCACCCTGCCGGGCTTTGGGACACGCATGCACATGTGCTCATCGTGGTTTTTAAGCCGCTGGGGCTGGAACCCTGACCACACAGTCAGCCATGTGGGATCCAGCTCCTTACCCACCAGGCTGCAGGGTCAGCCCGGACTCGGCAATCCTGTCACAGACCCAGGCGACGCTGCTGCTGCTGGTTTTTCATCTGACAGTGTCTCCCTGACAGTGGTGGAATATTCAGTTTGAAGCCTAAAGTTAAATAATTAAACAGCTAGACACTGGGTTTCTTCGACATCCTCTGTTACAGGTGGAGTGCAACGTGCACACGGTCCATAGTCAGAATGATCTCTGCAGGAAAATTCCTCACGCAGGAAAACCCACGTAGAGCACCAGCGTGTACTTACAGGACCCGGGTTTAGGGAAAGTGCATGTCTGTTTTAATTGGCTGAGGGCATGTGTGCTTGGCAGAGAGAAACAAAGGAAGAGAGACAGGCAAAAACCACCACCCGGTGGAGAATAGTCACACTGCGGTCCCTCCTCTTCCGTTTCCCCATCCCGCTGGTATCTTGGGTGCATGTGCACATACATGCCAGATGGTTGTTTAAACTGTAAGGGCCAGGATTTGAACCCTGGCAGGCCATGTAGGGCCAGGCACTCCCCCTGGGGGGGAGTGCTTTCTTCCTTTCTCTCTGTCTCTCCATCGCTCTCTCTGGTGGGTACGTGTGCCTTCTGACCATTAAGAAAGGCATTCACTAAAGACAGAGGGGCGAGCAGAGTGAGGTGGGCATGGCTATGGGCACTGGCCAGGGGCCCAGAGAGGCCGCACTGCCACTTCCCGGCTCCGCGATGGAGCCAATCCCTTACGCCCTCCTCTGTAAGGTGAGGGAAGTGCTAGTGCCTGCCCCGTCGGGTCGCTCTGAGTATCAGAACTTGGTAAAGTGTAGAAAGCTTGCAGTTCTGTGTCTGGATGGAGGAAGCCCCTGATAAATGCTGACTGCTGCGCTGGTCCTGCCCCGTTCCTCTCTGTCCTGTCCCGTCCCACCCCTGAGCCAGGACGCAGGGTTGAGGAGCATCAGCACCTCCCTTGGGTGGCCCTAATCCGCGGAACTATGCATCCTGGTGCCCTCTGTGATCTGCGGTGTGGTCAGGAGCGGCCTTTGAGACACAGCCACCAAAGCACGGCTCTCAAAGCATGTCTCTGAGCCACGGCTCTGTAGAGCTGGCCTAGTTCTAACCACTTAAAAGGAAAGTAGGGGACCAGCAGATGGCGTCATGGTTACGTCGCTGGACTCCCACATAGTTGACCGCAATTCAAGTCCTGAACCTGGCAGTTTAAAAATTCTGGGCGCGCATGTGTGCATGCCCAGAATCCTGAGAAGAGAATGGAGAAGGGATTGCGGCGTGGCTATCCCCTCGGGGGTGATTTATCACTTTCTGTCTCTCTGGCGAGAGCGCACATGCTCTATAGCAAAAATCTCTCTCCCAAAAAAAAAAAAAAAAAAAGAGTAAAGGGAAGGTGGGGCACACCAGGAGCTGGTGGGCAGTCCATGCCATGCTGCTCGCCCTGGGGTGCAGTTGCTC